CCCCGCCCTCTTCACCTGGGGTGACAGAGCTGCGAAAGGTCATGTCGCTGGGGAAACCCTGCTTCAGTCCGGGAGGAAACCAGTCCCAGGCAGGGGCAGTCGCGTAGAAGCCGAACTTGTTCCCAGCCTCTCGATGGACTCTGGCATCCTGTCGCAGCTGTTTCTGAACGCGGGGACACAAGTTTGAGCAGCGAATTCTAGCCTCAGTTGCCAGATGTACTGACCCTTTAAGGAACAAGTCCACAGCAAGAGGGTCACCCAGGCAAGTCCAGATTGGAACAAGAGGGTCTGACTCCTCCAGGGGCCAGGGACTTGGCCTGAGTCTAGAGGGCACTCGTGGAACTGTGAGCCCCGTTCACAAACACAGACACTTAAAAATGACCTCACCGTGTGTAATAAGAGTCTAGCTCCATTCTGATATTGACGGCTAACGGCATTGAGACCTCCACCCATCTCTTCCCCAATCCCCACACATTTACAATCTCTTTGAACCCCACATCCCTAGCATGGATGCAAGGACGCGTATCAGACTAACCACAGCTGTGAGATATTTCAATTAAACTCTGAAGTGTACATTTCACACTAAAGGAAAAATTATTTTAGATAGGTTACAGATTGTGTTCCCAGAGAACTTTGAAATGTAAACAACTATGATATACCTAAGGTAACTGAATTCCTATTTTCACTGATACAAAAATGAACAATAAAAAGTGATGTAAATTAGGGTATATCTGGAAACTCAGTATGTTTAACAGATTAGATCAAAAATCTGAAGTCATATTTATTTGAAAAGCTATATAAAAATAAAACACGACACAATGCACCCCTTTTAAGCGTACAATTCAGTAAAGTATATTCAAAGACGCAAACAGATAGTCGTCACCACAGTCAATTATAGATGATTTTTTTCTTTTTTTTTTTTTGAGATGGAGTCTACTCTGTCGCCCAGGCTGGAGTGCAGAATGCAATGGTGCGATCTCGGGTCACTACAACCTCCGCTTCTCGGGTTCAAGCGATTCTCCTGCCTCAGCCTCCAGAGTAGCTGGGATTACAGGTGCACACCACCATGCCCGGTTGATTTTTCTATTTTTAGTGGAGACGGGGTTTCACCATGTTGACCAGGCTGGTCTTGAACTCCTGACCTCAAGTGAGTTGCCTGCCTCAGTCTCCCAAAGTGCTGGGATTACAGGCATGAGCCACCGTACCTGGCCTAGAACATTTTCATTACCTCAAAAAAGAAACTCCTGGCAGGGCACGGTGGCTCATGCCTATAATCCCAGCATTCTGGGAGGCCAAGGCAGGAGGATAGCTTGAGCCCAGAAGTTCATGACCAGCCCTGACAAAAGAGCAAAACCCCATCTCTGAAAAAAAAAAAAAAATTAATTGGGCATGGTGGTACACACCTGTGTTCTCAGCTACTCGTGGGGCTGAGATGGGAGGACTGCTTGAATCCAGAAGTTTCAGAGTGCAGTGAGCCACGATGGCCTGGGCTACAGAGCAAAACCCCATCTCTTAAAAAAGAAAACATTAAAAACCACAAACAAAAAAACAAAGTGGCTGCTCTATTTTCCATTCTCACCAGCAGTGTATGAGGGTTCCAAATTCTCCATATCCTTGACATGTGTTATCTGTCTTTTTCATTCTACCCATCCTAGTGGGTTTGAAGTGGCATTTCATTGCCTTTTTGTTTAGCATTTACTTAATGATGTCCAGCATCTTTTCAGGTCCCCTTGCTCAGTTGTTTGTCTTCCTTAGAAAAATGTATATTCAGCTGGGTGCTGTGGCTCACTCCTGTAATCCCAGCACTTTGGAAGGCCGAGGTGGGCCGATCACTTCACCCTAGGAGTTTGAGACCAGCCTGGCCAACATGGCAAAACCCATCTTGACTCAAAATACAAAAATTAGCCAGGTGTGGTGGCACATACCTGTAATCCAAGCTACTCCAGAGCAAGACCATGTCCCCTCCACCTCCAGAAAAAGAGTTAGCTGTAAAACAGCCTCTGGCAAATCCTTCAGGAAGTATTCTGAAAGGTTTTTTTGTTGCGGTTTTTTGGGGTTTTTTTGAGACAAAGTCTTGTCCTGTCACTGGAGGCTGCGGCAGGAGAATCACTTGAACTGGGGAAGTGGAGGTTGCAGTGAGCCGAGATCGCGCCACTGCACTCCAGCCTGGGTGACAGAGTGAGACTCTGTCTCAAAAAAAAAAATTACCCAGGGTAGAATTAAGTTCACCTCTTCACTCCATCAGAGAAATTTTTTGCTTCCTTAAGTAGGAGTCAAACAACCTAAAAGCAGCATAAATCCTGCAATAAATTCTTTTAACTACCCTCTTATTGATACACCTCACAGTCATTACTGTTTTGTGGTGGTATTTTTTTTTTTTTTTTTTTTTTTTTGAGACAGTCTCACTCTGTTGCCCAGGCTGGAGTACAGTGGTGCGCTGGGCTCACTGCAACCTCCACTCCCAAGTAGCTGGGATTACAGATGTGCGCCACCACACCAGGCTACTTTTTGTATTTTTAGTAGAGACAGGTTGTTGCTATGTTGTCCAGGCTGGTCTCCAATTCCTGGTCTCAAGTGATCTGCCTGCATTGGCCGCCCCAAATGCTGGTATTACAGGTGTGAGCCACCGTGCCCGGCCTATGGTAGTATTACCACAATTTATTACATCCTGTTTGACAACAGGTACGTTCCTGATAGTCGTTGGAAAGAAATCACTCACAACATGATTTGACTTTTGGTATTATGCATATGAAAAACTACTATCATCATAAAAGCTGTAATCGAATAAGCATGAAAACTAAAATTTATGAGAAAAAAGAGGCCTGAAGTTGTAAGCTCACAGTAATGTTGACTCACAATGTTGGACAAAGAGCTTAATTATAAAGTTTATCTGATCCATGATTGGAATGGGTATTTTAATATATATTCTCAATAAATACAAAACTCACTAGACAGTAAGCAAGTTGTTTGCACACTGTTAATATTTCTAAGAAATGTGTGAGAACTTTTGTTTGAGGAAGACATGTATATTGTTTGTAATCACATATAATCAAACATAATTCAAAATAAACTGAGGGACTACATTCAGCTATAACAGGACACACCCACAATGTTTCTGTAATGAATAAGGTGCTCATTCTCACATGAAAGAATGGGGTGAGACCCATCTCTGCATAATGCGGCAGAGGAACAAGCTTCATGTAGGGTTTTTGGTTTTGTTTTTGGATAGTGCCATTGTAGATCTCAACCTGCATCAGTAACACTCACTATCCCTATGGACAAAAATGTTTATGTACAAACTGGACCGTACAGGAACCAAGTCAGATCATCAGACTATTCCCAACAATGACAATATAAACTGATTACTTGGCAGATACATTAGGGCTTTCAGGGATATCCAAATGGCAGCTGAATCTTGGATATGAAGCTTGTAAGAACGTCTATGGAAATCTATAACTTTGAGAACATGGAGGTGAAGTGGCTGGTGGTGGATTAGAGAATACTCTTTTTTTTTTTTTTGAGACAGGGTCTCATTCTGTACTCTTGTCACCCAGGTTGGAGTGCAGTGGCGTGATCTTGGCTCACTGCAACCTTCACCTCCCCGGCTCAAGCAATTCTTCTGCCTCAGCTGGGACTATAAGCATGTGATACCACACCCAGCTAATTTTTGTATTTTTAGTAGAGACAGGGTTTCACCATGTTGACCACGCTAGTCTCAAACTCCTGATCTCAGGTGATCTGCCCGCTTTGGCCTCCCAAAGTGCTAGAATTACAGGTGTGAGCCACCACATCCAGCTGAGGATACTCTTGATTGGCAGGGCAAAGAATCAGGAAAATGGGCTAGATGACCATGTCCAAACAGCCCATATGAATCTGTCTCTCCGTATGATGCCTCCAAAATCTGACTAATACCTTCTTCACTTCTGCAATCTAACCTTCTGGGAATTTAGGCTTTGATGCACTCTACATGTAACCATAAAAGAAATAAATTCTGGGCCAGGCACAGTGGCTTATGCCTGTAATCCTAGTGCTTTAAGAGGCTGAGGCTAGAGGGTGACTTGAGGCCAGGAGTTTGAGACCAGTCTGGGCAACACAGCAAGACACCATCTCTACTTAAAAAAGATTAAAAACCAAAAACAAAAACATTAGCTGGGCTTGGTGGCACATACCTATAGTTCCAGCCATTTGGGAGGCTGAGGTTGGAAGACTATCTGAGCTCGAGAGTTTGAGGTTACAGTGAGCCACAATTGTGCCATTGCACTCCAGCCTGGGTGACAGAGTGAGACCCCATTTCAGAAAGAAAGAAAGAAAAAAAGAAAGAAATGAAGTCTGAAAAGTTTAGTTCCCATTACCCAGATTGACATGACACAATTCATGAAAGGCATCTCCCATTCTAGATTTTATTATCCTATCATAGCTGTCTCCTTATCCCAAAATCAATTATACAAAGAACAGCCAGAATAAATAACAAGGAGTAAAGAACAACAGATTAAAATAATAATTCACGAGACTACAGTCTATGATAAACTTTACATATTTAGAATGAATGCCAACTCTTTAATAGGAACGAAAATAAAATTCTTTGAGCCAAGAAAAAAAAAATGGGCTAAGTGTGATGGCTCACACATGTAATCCCAGCACTTTAGGAGGCTGAGGCAGGTGGATCACTTGAGGTCAGGAGTTTAAGACCAGCCTGGCCAACATGGTGAAACCCCATCTCTACTAAAAACACAAAAAATTAGCCAGGTGTGGTGGCACATGGCTGTAGTCCCAGCTTCTTAGGAGGCTGAGGTGGGATAATCACTTGAACCCAGAAGGCAGAGGTTGCAGTGAGCCGAGATCACACCACTGTACTCCAGCTTGGGCAACAGAGCACAGAGCGAGACCCTGTCTCAAAAAGAAAAAAGAAGAAAAAAGGAAAAAAAAGGAGTTGTTCCAATAAATATGATGGAATATATATAATGTGGGAAGGGAATCAAGAACCTGCTAAATGAAGCAAGTAGGTTCATACTAACATTTATTAAGACTTATTTTTCAGTGGTCCTCAATCACAGAACAATTAAGCAACCATATACAATTTAACAGACCTGAATATAAGAAACACATTTAAATTCATCGTTGGATTAAACACATTTCAAAATGGAAAGACAAATATTTTAATTACTGACCTAAAACAATACTACTTATGAAATTCATGCACTATTGCTTTCAGATTACTTACAGGATTATATCAACTTAACATTTATTTGTGAGATTAAGCATTTGAAATCCATAGAGAACTATTTTAAATATGAGCCACTAATTAACAAAATATACATATAGCTTCTACATTTCCATCAGGTTATTATGTATTTTCTAGAGACTACATGACCTGCTATGCATTAGGCTTTTTGAAGTACTTACATTTATAGGATTTTGCTATATTATAAGTCTTTGAATGACTTTTTTTTTTTTTTTGAGATGAGGTCTTGCTATGTTTTGCACACTTGAAACTCCATCTCAAACTCCTGACCTCAAGTGATCCTCCTGCCTCAGCCTCCCAAAGTGCTGGGATTACAGGTGTGAGCCACCACACCCAGCCAGAGCTGAAACACCTGTTCAAATTCAATACCTCAACTAATGAGGCCCTGCTGGGATTGAAACCCAGCATCTCCTGTTTGCCAGACAAGTACTTTAATCCACGAAGCCACAGAGCCCTCAAATGACTTTAAAAGTATATTATAATGGAAAACCTTCCTCGTGGTTTTCACATTTATAGTGTTTTGATCCAGAGTGCATTCTTACATGTTGTTGAAAATGTAGGCTGGTTAAAAACGTTTGGACATTGCTTATATTCAAGAGCTTTCTCTCCTCTGTGTGTTCTTTCATGGCTTCAAGTGGAACTAAAATGACTAAAGGCTCTCCCACACTTTACATTTACCAGGGTTCTCTCCACTATGCATTCAATGTGTGACAGGATTGTATGATGATAAAACCTTTCCTACACTCTTTCCACAGGATTTCTCTCAAATACGGGTTCCCTTCCAAAAAGCATTTGTTCGGTCTTCTCCGTGATGAGTTATTTCCTGTATTTGAAAGGAACTAAAATGATTGAAAGCTTTCCCATGTTACTTACATTTATATGGCTTCTCTCCAGAATTCTCTCTTTCATGTATTAAAAAAGGCACCAACAGAATTTCATGCTTTCCCACATTACTTACATTCATAGGGCTTCTCTTCAGTGAGTATTTTAATGTATCTGACATGAACCCAGAGCATTAAAGGCTTTCCCACATGCATTTATAAGGTGGTCCATCTTCAGCGTGTGTTAACATGTGTCTCTGAAAGCTGGCACGGCAAGAATAGGCTTTCCCACATTCCTTACAATGATAGGGTTTCTGTCCAGTGTGAGTCCTTTCATGTAGTCTAAAGGAACTAGAAGATCTAAAGGCTTTACCACATCGCTTACATTCAAAGGGTTTCTCACCAGTGTGAATCATTTCATGTGTTCGAAAGGAGTTGAGATAACTGAAGGCTTTCCCACATTGCTTACACTCATAGGGTTTCTCTCCAGTATGAGTTCTTTCATGTATTCGAATTGATGTCGAAGAAACGAAAGCTTTACCACAATGTTTACATACATAGGGTTTCTCTCCAGTGTGAGTTCTTTCATGTATTCGAATTGATGTCGAAGAAACGAAAGCTTTACCACAATGTTTACATACATAGGGTTTCTCTCCAGTGTGAGTTCTTTCATGTATTCGAAACGGACTCAGAGAATGAAAGGGTTTCCCACATACCTTACATTTGTAAGGTCCTTCTCCAGTATGCTTTATCATGTGTCTTCGCATACTGGGGATGCAGCTGAATGCTTCCCCACATTCCTTACATTCATAGGGTTTCTCTCCAGTGTGAGTCCTTTCATGTATTTGAAAAGTACTGGCGGATCTAAAGGCTTTACCACATTGTTTACATACAAAGGGCTTCTCGCCAGTGTGAATTCTTTCATGTAGTCGAAGGGAGGGGAGATAACTGAAGGCCTTCCCACACTGCTTGCATTCATAAGGTTTCTCTCCAGTATGGGTTCTTTCATGTATTCTTAAGGTTGGGGAACAACTGAAGGCTTTACCACATTGCTTACATTTAAAGGGCTTCTCTCCAGTGTGAATTCTTTCATGTACTTGAAATGAACTCAGAGAATGAAAGGGTTTCCCACATACCTGACATTTATAAGGCCCATCTCCCGTGTGCTTTATCATGTGTCTTCGAACACTTGTGATACAAGTGAAGGCTTTTCCACATTCTTTACATTCATAGGGTTTCTCTCCAGTGTGACTTCTTTCATGTGTTCGAAATCTACTGGGATAATCAAAAGCTTTCCCACACACCTTACATTTATATGGTATATATCCACTGTGTGTGATAATGTGTCTTCTAATTCTTTTGAGAGAAAAGAAGGTTTTTCCACATTCCTTACAATCATAGAGTTTCTCTCCAGTGTGAATTATCTCATGTGTTCGAAAGGAGTGGTGAGAACTGAAGGCTTTCCAACATTGGTTACGTGTATCTGGCTTCTCTCCATATTCCTGATACTCCTTTGGTTCATGTCCACTGTGATCTCTGATGTGTCTATTAAGGGATGAGTGACCCATGCTGACTTCTCCATATACAAAGCTTTCACAGAGTTTCACTCCAGGAATTTTCTTGCTCAGATTCTGATTTGCAAACTGGCTAAAAATTCCTCCACGCTGACTACCATCTTTACTTTGATAGAATCTTTCTAACATATGACTTCTGTAAAAAATGAGAAGGACGTTACTAAGGATTTGTTAACCGTTTTATATTAATAGCTATTAAACTTGCATTTTCAATATTATCAGGTAAAGCGTAGACTTGATGCCAAGTCTGATTTGAGTATGAATGGATTCAATGCTCTGCAATGGGCTTGGCCACAACTATCACTCAAACAGTGATACTCCTAAATAGACTTTCTTAATTCTCTTGCCAAATGAACGTTTTTATAAAAACTGAACATCTGTTTACACTGAAGAATATGTATTTGGGGAAACTATTCTAAAAATAAATCAATTTGAAGCTTGGCTTATCGGTTATGTTTGCCTGTTTTTAAAATTTCATGACATGCTGAGATACTTTCAAGGGAATTTGCTTTCTCTGAGTACAGATTACCTTAGATTTCTCCTTCGGTGTTTGTAGTGATCTTTAATGTTCTTGTCCTTCCATTTTTTCCCTAAAACAGAGACCCAGAAAAATTCTGAATTAGTGCAAAATTATAGAAAAATTATTAGATTCTAGGTTCATGTTACCCTGTGACTATGCCTGTTTTAGCCCCCCAAGTATTCTTCCTCCATGATACAAACCACGGAACAGCATCACTGCACAAGAAACACTTCTTCTCTAATTGACTAAGTGATGGAAGTATATAATCGTTACCTATAGAGGCCAGATTCCTCATGGTTTCCCACATCACATCTCTGTAGAGATTCTTCTGGGAAGGATCCAGCAAAGCCCACTCCTCCTGGGTGAAGTTCACATCTACATCCTCAAAGGCCACCGAGTCCTGAAACATCCCACACATGTGGAGAGGAGAATGGGTGAGACAGACAGGGCTGGGGAACTTTACTCAATTCATAAGAAGTTCACGTTTCAGGGCTCTCCAAACATTTACTCCACTGTTTGGTCAGCATACTCACTTCCTTCCACACAGCAACTCTCATACTAGTATTGAACTATTGGGTAGAGCAATAGCAGTGTCTGATATCTTTCTTGGTGGTGGTTCCAAGGAGTAATACATGCTGCCTGAGTCACATCTAATGTCTGCTCGTACAGTGGACCTGGAGAACCTGTCATAACAAAGTCCTACCACCTAGAGAGGAAAAGAGTTTATACTAGCAGTCCTGAGACTGCTTACCCTTAAAAAAAAAAGGCTCCTCACTCCTGACGACGTTCATCTGAGGTAGGAGACCAACAGGACTTGTTTTCTGATCACAACTCTACTGACCAAAACAGGATCTGGCGCAGGCAGGTTAAAGTAAAGAAAGTGGCCAAAACCAGATGACAAGAATGGAGATCTCTAGAGGCTCTCGCTGCTCATTAGCATAAAACACTCCCACCAATGCTATGACAGTTTACAAATGCCATGGCAATGACCTGAAAGTTATCACTCCTTCCTTAGAAAGTTTTAAATAACCCACCCCTTAATTTGCATATAATTGAAAGTGGGTATAAACATAGTTGCCAAGAGCCCATATGTTGCTGACTCTGGGTGTACTGCCTATGAGTTAGCACTGATCCACAAAGACCAATACTGTTAAATAAAGGACTGCTATCTAACACCATTGGCCTGCCCTTGAATTCTTCCCTGGGCAAAGCCAGAAACCATCCTGGGATAAGCCCCAACTTTAGGGCACACCTGTCCTGCGTCACATCCATTCCTGGTATCTGGCAAATGGATTTGGGGAAGGAGCCCAATGACCTATATAAGAGTAGCTTAGTGCCTAAACTTTTTATGGAAAAAATACGAAAATTTCTGGTCTCCCACCTTCCGAGAGTTTGAGATTTTGTTACACACGTAACCCATACTGCCCACCTGATGAGCCCCCAGAAACACTCTAGGAAGCATTTCACATGTGTTCTCACAATTGGTCACTGGGAAAATTAATCCCATCTTCTGTTATTACACTAAGAGAGAATACTCACAAGCTCATACCTATCCTGCAGATCAAATATAATTAAGTACTAAATGAAGGATTTTTTACCATCTTTTTTTTTTTTTGAGATGGAGTCTGGCTCTCAGTTGCCCAGGCGGGAGTGCAGTGGTGCAATCTCGGCCCACTGCAAGCTCTGCCTCCCGAGTTCAAGCCATTCTCCTGCCTCAGCTTCCCGAGCAGCGGGGACTACAGGTGCCCACCACCACACCCAGCTAGTTTTTTGTATTTTTTAGTAGAGACGGAGTTTCATGTTAGCCAGGATGGTCTCGATCTCCTGACCTCGTGATCCGCCCACCTTGGACTCCCAAAGTGTTGGGATTACAGACGTGAGCCACCAGGCCCGGTCCTGGGTTTTTTTTTTTTTTTTTTTTTGATGGAGTCTTGCTTAGTCGCCCAGGCTGGAGTGCAGTGGCAGGGTCTTGGGTCACTGCAACCTCTGCCTCCCAGGTTCAAGCAATTATCCCACCTCAACCTCCTGAGGAGGTGGGAGTACAGGCATGTGCCACCACACTCAGCTAATTTTTTTGGTTTTGTTTTGTTTTGTTTTGTTTTTGAGATGGAATCTTGCTCTGTAGCCCAGGCTGGAGTGCAGTGGCCGGATCTCAGCTCACTGCAAGCTCCGCCTCCCGGGTTCCTGCCATTCTCCTGCCTCAGCCTCCCCAGTAGCTGGGACTACAGGCGCCCGCCACCTCGCCCGGCTAGTTTTTTGTATTTTTAGTAGAGACGGGGTTTCACCATGTTAGCCAGGATGGTCTTGATCTCCTGCCCTCATGATCCGCCCGTCTCAGCCTCCCAAAGTGCTGGAATTACAGGCTTGAGCCACTGCGCCCGGCCTAATTTTTGTATTTTTAAATAGAGATGGGGTTTCACCATGTTGGCCAGGCTGGTCTCAAACTTCTGACCTCAAGTGATCTGCCAGCCTCGGCCTCCCAAAGTGCTGGGATTACAGGCGTGAGCCACCGCACCCAGCTTCGTGAATCTTCACTAAATTGGTAAAAATAAATTGGTGAATTCACCAATTTATCTACCTATTTTCTCATCAAAATGTATTCAGTGGCCAGGTGAACTGGATTATACCTGTAATTCCATCATGTTGGGAGGCTGAGGCAGAAGGACTGTTTGAGCCCAGGAGTTCAAGATCAGTTTGGGCAATGCAGTGAGAACCTCCGTCTCTACAAAAAAATTTTAAAAATCAGCCAGCAGTGCTGGTGCACGCCTGTAGTCCCAGCTACTCCGGAGGCTGAGGTGAGAGGACTGCTTGAGCCCAGGAGTATGAGAATGCAGCAAGCTATGATGGGTGCCACTGCACTCCAACTTGGGCAAAAGAGGAAGACCCTGTCTCAAAATAGATAGATACATACATACATACATAGATACATAGATAGATTCAGTTATGTGAAGCCATAATGAAGAGTGATTCTCCCTATTTCTCTGAGCTTTTTCTCTCTGTAGCCTTCTCAAGGCTAAACTCTAGGATTCTATTTGAAATCACAAAAAAGGGGCTGGGAGCGGTGGCTCATGCCTAAAATCCCAGTACTTTGGGAGGCCAAGGTAGGAGGATCACTTGAGCTTAGGAGTTTGAGACCAGCCTGGGCAACATGGTGAAACCCTATCTCTACAAAAAATTAGCCAGTCGTGTAGTCTGCACCTATGGTCCTAGCTACTCAGGAGGCTGAGGTGGGAGGACTGCTTGAACCAGGGAGGTGGAGGCTGCAGTGAGCCATGACTGTGCCACTGAACTCCAGCCTGGAGCCAGACTGTGTCTCAAACAAATAAACAAACAAAAACAACAACAAAATCACAAAAAAGAACAGACTGAGAAACTTACTGCATATTTTTCTGGGGGGAAAAAATTAAATACAAATTTTTAACAAATATAAGGGTAGATATTTATTTTTCTGAGATCCACCTCTTATCTCTTTGGAAATATTTTAGCCTAACTTTCAAGCTTTAATGGTAAAATACATTTTACATGATGAAGTAAGTAAACAAATCTTCTTAATGTGACAAAATCAGGGAAAGCCACTGCTGACCTGGAACACAGATAAATCTGACTTAACTGCCCAGTCAGGTCATCCTATCACATGGGACATCTCCCCAACCCCCATCCTGGTGCTGCTCACTGACCCTTCCCAGAGACAGTGGATTGTGCCCCCACTCCCATGCCTAAGTGCATTTTGCTTTTCAAGTTCTTGCATAACCTGGCAGAGGTGGGTTTTCTTTGTCTTTTGGGATCATTTTTCTCGCTTCAAGTACTCTGAAAGAATCCAGAGGGCAAGAATCATTTTCTGTCTTTCCCCTCAATATCTCCATCCAATTAGCTGACCACAAACGTGTCTCCAAAGAATGAAAACTGGGGCTGGAGAAAAACAAGCTGAGTGTCCCAATGGGTGAGCTTTTCAGAGGAAGGGTAAACCATGTCACTGCTTCCAGGCCCAACACATCCAGCGGGTATCCAGCTCATGAGGGGCCACATGAACTGATACTCACTAGACCCTTCAAGAGACATGGAAGCTATGGCCTTCTTGGGGCAGCCCCAGTCAGTTCTGAACCCCAGGACCAGGAGAAGAGAGGGCAGGCTGAGGACAATCAACCCTGCAAAGTTTCCAAAGGGGAACCTCAACGCCAAGGCATTCTGATAAGGGTTTGCACTTGGGGAAGACAAAGGAGAGACACAAAGGTTTTCAACAATGGAGTTTCAGGTAGTTATTATCTGCTTACCTCTCAGGCGAAAAGGTCACAAACACAAAAGAAATCTTTATAAAACAGTCATCCACTGCTTTCTGTAAAAATGATAAACTTAAAATATGACACCTGTCTCTAATGGAGAACGAAGGACAAATACCTTGGCGTGGTGGTTCACGCCTGTAATTCCAGCACTTTGGGAGGCCAAGGTGGGTGGACCACTTAAAGTCAGGAGTTTGAGACCAGCCTGGCCAACACGGTGAGACCCCATCTCTACTAAAAAATACAAAAAAATGGCCGGGCTCGGTGGCTCACGCCTGTAATCCCAGCACTCTGGGAGGCCGAGACAGACAGATCGCGAGGTCAGGAGATCGAGACCATCCTGGCGAACACGGTGAAACCCCGTCTCCACTAAAAATACAAAAAAAAATTAGCCAGGCGCAGTGGCGGGCGCCTGTAATCCCAGCTACTCTGGAGGCTGAGGCAAGAGAATGGCGAGAACTCGGGAGGCGGAGCTTGCAGTAAGCTGAGCTCGTGCCTCTGCCCTCCAGCCTGGGCGACTCAGTGAGACTCCGTCTCCAAAAAACAAAACAAAACAAAACAAAACAAAACAAAACAAATTAGCTGGGCGTGGTGGCAGGCACCTGTAATCCCAGCTATTGGGGAGGCTGAGGCAGGAAAATCACTTGAACTCAGGAGGCGGAGGTTGCAGTGAGCAGAGATTGCGCCACTGCAGCCTGGGCGACAGAGTGAGACTCCATCTAAAAATAATAATAATAATAAACCAGACAAATAGTTGATAACACTGTGCATTCAAGAACAGAGCTTGGTGTTGGGGACTGCGGAAATTATACCTACAATTTAGGAGTTTGCTGCCAGATCAAGGAGAGTTAGGCTGGGGGTGGGGAGCTCGGAAGCGGATTTCACACCCTGCTTCCCACACATTTGAGCAACTCAGAGGAAACAAAATCGGATGCTGATGGCGAAGAGGCCTGGGCCCCTCCAGCCATGTTGGACCCTGGGCCCTTGCACACTTGCCATTTCCCATACTCGCCATTTCCCATCTTCCGGGGTCTCCTGGGTCCTCCCTCCGGCTGCCACGGCCAGCGCAGAGCACAGAGCCAGGCAGTGAAGCCAGGAGCCAGAAGAGAAAGGTAATGCAGCCGGCGCAAGAAAAGAAAATTCACAAGATCATACAGGGTGGGGTAAGGTTGGGGGCAGACAGGGCTCTGAGAAGCGCCTGATTGGTCAGTAAGTAAGAAGCCATCCTGGCGTCCCTAACTGGATATAACTTCAGGCTCCGCCCCCTGTGGCTTGAGGGGCAGAACACCTAAGATGTCTCAACAGGGATCTGACATGGTTCTAGCACACACCCTATGCAGTGGTGCACCTACCTCCAGGTTCCAGATGCCCATGTCCAAAGTCAAGATCACATATTGCACTAAAACTTTTAACCAATGCAAAAATGATGATAAACCATACCTATATGTTTATGGGGAATCATTATTGTTAACCTCAAAAAGGCAGGACTGTCTATATTGCTATGCACTATCTACATCCACACTTAAGCAGTTCCTAAATAGTGCTGAAGACGTAGTAGAGGTAGAAATATAAATGACCAATGGTGACATTTCTTCACTCACTGATGTCGCCACCCTCATATACACACACCCTCAGCTTCCGTATTATCTCATACTATCATTTACTTTCCTTCAAAGTGCTTATTTCCTTCTTATAAACCAGTCTTACCATTTTTTTCAACCCCTCTCCTTTCTCACAAAAATATAAGCACCAGGATTTCAATAATTTATTCACTTCGTGTTCCTGTATCAGAGCCTTGAGTGCCTGCATCATTTGTGCTTAATTCTAGACGTTTTGAGTCTACAGTTCCGGCATATGAGGCATATTGAAAAATTAGCATCAAGAGCGTATCACCTGAGCAAGAGAGGCTTGATTAGAATAGTGATCATGTCTCTCTCCCTTGCTAGGTTTATATTCTCACAACTTTCCTAGAGCTATTAGCCTAATTTGACTAATAATGGAGACTTTTAAAAATTATGAGTAGTTGACCGGGCGCTGTGGCTCATGCCTGTAATCCCAGTACTTTGGGAGGCCGAGGCAGGTGGATCACAAGGTCAGGGGATCAAGACCATCCTGGCTAACGTGGTGAAACCTCGTCTCTACTAAAAATACAAAAAATTAGCCAGACGTGGTGGCAGGCACCTGTAGTCCCAGCTACTCAGGAAGCTAAGGCAGGAGAATGGTGTGAACCCAGGAGGCGGAGCTTGCAGTGAGCTGAGATTGCGCCACTGCACTCCAGCGTGGATGACAGAGCCAGACTCTGTCTCCAAAAAAAAAAAAAAACTATCAATAGTTAGAATTTATGTATTTCAACTGAGGTATGTTATGGGAAGCCATGTCTAATTC